ATGAGTCTTATCATTAATTCTATCTATACATCCTTTGGACTGGATCAACAAGAGAGTACAAACCTTAGCAGAGCTGACACAGGGCATGCCAGCTATACTCTGCCTATACAAACAAGTGTGGGGGTAGCTGGCATAGCTGCTAGGACAATCATCACACTTGGGACCTCTCTTACTCCCCGCCTTTATAAACAACTCTAGAATTGGAAGTATATCCCCTCCGGCTTACTCTATGCTGCTTAATGAATGACCTCTCTCTCTTTCTCTCTCTCACTAGCTCTCATTGGTTCTATGCATAGTGATAGTACAGGCAGTATAATGCAGTGAAAGAATGTTGAATAAAAAGGGGAGGGAGAGAGAGAGAGAGGGAGAGAGGGAGGGAGAGAGGGAGAGAGGGAGAGAGGGAGAGAGGGAGGGAGAGAGAGAGAGAGAGAGAGAGAGAGAGAGAGAGAGAGAGAGAGAGAGAGAGAGAGAGGAGGGTAGAAGTAATAAAAAAAAACGGAGCAAAAGCAAAGTGAGAGAAAGATGAAAAATATCATGCACAAAAAACATACTTAAAGAGTTTTGTAACACAGCAACACACAACATATAAACATTACAGAAGAACATCATATTCAAACTAAGGCTATAGCTAGGGCTTCCATTCCAAATAAGCCACATAGCAAACCAAGCTCATCATAATGATGCAAAAATCATTTTGAATCTGTGCCCATGTACATGTACATGTACAACTACTCACACACAGCTAAGAAGAGCCATAATAGCAATCAAGCAATTAATATTCTAATTATGATATCCATATTTTTCCCATAGAAACCTCTGAAGTATAATAGCTCGATAATTCTTCCAAAACAAATCCTGGTCTGAGAGGAGATTCTAGTTTAAGGAAGCATCCATGATTCATAGTATTAATATTATGAAAAGGACTTAACTTCCATGTGCAATAGTAGCTGCATATGCTGTACAGGGAACTTGTGATCATTGCATCATTGCTTAAGTAGAATTAAACCCCAAGCATTAGTAGTACACACTGTTAGATCATAGAGAGATATAGTACCTTAAAACTTTGCAGTTACATTGTATATGTACATGTATACTATATTAATAATGAAGTTACAGAATTAAAATAATGTTTATTAAATATACATGTGTGTGTGTGTGTGGTGATGGAATACCTGTTTATAAAGTAATGATGGTTCTTTGAAAAGTTAATGTACAACTTGTCCCTTAGAAAGGGCAAGGTCAATATGTATAAGTACAATAGCCTTTTTGGTGATAGAATAAAAGTCACCTTTATTTTCAAAAATACAAAGACACACAGTGAAGGTGTCACTTTCATGCATTCCAAGCTAGCAGTATAAAATGAAAGCAAGTCTTCAAAAGGGAAGCAGTGTATTATATACAGGAGAGTGCAAGTACATTTATATCATAATGAGGAGTTGGAAAGAAAACAATGACAAGAGACATTAGCAAGTGTTGGTAGTGGCACCTCGTTTACATTAGAGTGTTATCAGTAATATCTGAGTATAGTAGCGTAGGGTAAGTGTGGAATGAGCAGAATGTGGGGAAAGTAAAGTGACAAATTTGAGTGTCTAGAGGTTAACAGAAGAAGAGGGGAGGGAGGGAGAGAGAGAGAGGGAGGAGGAGAGAGAGAGGGAGAGAGGGAAAGAGAAAGAGAGTGTGTGAGAGAGTGAGGGAAGGGGGAGGAGAGGAAGGGTGGCTAAAGAGAAAGAAAGGGGGGGAGGGAGGAGGAGAGAAGTACAAAAGGCATAGACAAAGAGAAGCATCAAGTCATAAGTGACAATGTGTAAAATGTAACATAAAGACATCAGGGTGAGAAAAGAGGACACATAAGAGAGTATGAAGACAGAGAAAGGGAAAGTGCTAGTGAGAGAGGATAACAAATTCCTTTGAAAACTCATAGACTATTCTGTCTGTTAACAAGTGGGGTCACCACAATAAAGGAAGCCAATTCATTAGTTGAGGAAAATTAATAAATAATTACATTCTTTCTGGGCAGGATGACAAGCTATGGGACATTCACTGAGTTGTATTTTTTCATCATCAGAAGCTAATGGAGAAGACCACC